AAGTGAGGAGAGTCTAGCTTCACTCTAAGGACTTTGCCTGAAGCAACCATGAAGTTTTTGCACAATGACACAGGAAGAGTTAGAAAGAAGAAGGTTTGAGCTGGGGTATCAAGAATTCACTTTGGACCCTAAATTTGAGATGTTATGTATACATCCAAGTAAAGATGTCAAGTAATATGTTCAACATGGGAATTTAGAGTTCAGAGGAGTGTGCTGAGGTGAGAAAACACATTGGGAAATATTTATATGTGAAGACCGAATAAAATGAACAAAAGAAGGAAGATGTGTAGCTATAGAAAAGACAAAATGACCAAGAACAGACTGAGTCTGTGGCTCTCCAATATTTACAGAGGAAGGCAATGAAAAAGAACCAGCAGCAAAACTGAAAAGGGATGTCCAGAGAAGTAGGAGGAAAATCACAAGGGTTTGAGAATCCCAAATGAGGAAAGATATTCAGGGAATGGTTAACTCTGGAAAAGATTGCTGATAGGTTAAAGTTAAATAACATGCAATGGAGAATTGGCCTTTGTTTTATGCAACATACAGGTCATTTATGTCCTTGGTAAGTGGAATATCAGTAGAGCTGTGGTGGGGTAAGGTTAAGGTTTATTGAATTAATTTTAAAAGAAATAAAAGGAGATAAATTGAAGACAATATGCAAAAGCAAACAACATTTTAAGGAGTATTATCCAAAAAATAATTTAGTAATAAGTAATAAGTTTTAACATAGACATATCTTCTTATTCAACATCGCTACTGTTCAGTATTTTATTCTGAAACCATTGGATCATTCTAAACAAATTATGAAAGAGATAACTTATCCTAGCATCATTATTTTACTGATTTGAAAAATTGCAAAATATTAGAAATAAGGAGTGATAGATATCCATATATTTGAAAACATGATTTGGGAATAATATTCAATAGTATGTAAAATCATGATATATTTCTGGTGAAAAATAGTAATTACATGCAATAAATTGTCATATATTACCTAAAT